CACACACACACACACACACACACACACACACACACACACACACACACACACACACACACACACACACACACACACACACGTTGCGTTTCTTACAAATTTTATGTATATTAATCATTTTTAATATATAATATCGCATAATGTTGTGAACAATACTAGTTGCAATAAAGTGCTTTAATTACAAATGGCTGACATTTCAAAGAGAAGCTAAGTGAATAATTACGGTGTTTCTTTTGTGTTTATGAGATAGTCGGATCAACAGTCTTAGCGATAAGACAAAAGTGGTATCGCTGGATTTCACGTTGATCTCATAGGAACAGTGGGTTATTACAGTTTATGCTAAAAATAGCTAATCGTTCAATGCCTCCATAATTTGCGACATTTCGGACATAATGGAGTTATTTTATTAAATTAATCTGCTTAATGGCAAAAATTATATCTTATCGATTATTTAAACATTAGAATAAAATATTAAGATACACAAAAACATCACAAAATAAAATTACGGTAAATTAACGTTGTATAATTAACATAAAAAAAAGTCGAGGCATAAGTATTGTTGCGTTCACCTCGCGTTCCGTGCGACTCCGACAATCGCATTCGCACTCGGGCACTCACGCGCGAAATGATTAGACAGTATAATACAAAAGAATACACAACTTTAATAGATTTTCCGGAATTATACAATAATAGTCTCCATCACTTTTACAATCTCTCCCAATATCAACAACATTGTCAAGGATTGCTCCCCGTTCGATCGACAACACAGGAATACGAAGACGTAGTAGCGCAACAATATATTTCTATTAATATTCTAGAATTATATTAAAAAGAAGTATGACAATTCTAAAATTACAGTAAAATTATAATAAAACTTTTGTTGTGTTAAAAATAAATTATAAATAATATATAAATCATAATTATCCAGCTTATTCACTCTAGTATATTTCATTCTTATAGTTTATAATTAAACTATTATATTCATAAAAATATGAATATATAAATATATAAAAAAATATTCAATTTTCTTTATTAAGTTTTTATTTGTCTAATAGATATATTTTTGCAAATGTACTAAACTTACAAAAAATGATGTGATAGTAAGATAAATAATGAGATTTTTTAATATGTCAACATCAATATTTCTTCTATCTTTATGACGGAATCATTAAATTAAAAAATTGTTTACTAAAGTTACCGATTAATGACAGTCCGGATTGAAAATTCCGAAAGTTGAAGAAAATTACGTAAAGATATGCATTGGCTCACGTAATACGATCGGAATAAGTTGTAATTACTTGATTGACATTCATTACCGAACATCGACGACTTTGCTATCACTTTGCCATCCATAAATGCATCGCGTTGTGGCATACTTACACTTATATTAAACTTCTTTTCGCATTTTACAACTTTCTCTCGTCCATCCGATGCGCAATAAAAATTGTATTCTAATTATTGATCGTTTATCGTTATATTTTTTTAATATTGAGAAAATTTATTGGAAATATTTAAAGTATTTGAAATCATTATTATTCTCGGTAATCAGATTTTTGAAAAATGCGCAACGTCAAATTATTTTGTGAAGAAAGAAAAAACATAATCATTATATTTAATGCATTTAACGATGTATTACAAAAGTCATACTGAATATTACAAACGATTTTTATTTTAATTAGAAAATAAATATATACTAAATATTATAGTTAATAATAATTAGAAAAACATTAGCGCAATTATCAAACAGATAGATTTACTCATTACGATTCTTGCTCTTTAATAATTTCATTTTTGTAGTATGCGCGCTATGGAGCTTCGGCGAGACCGTTCCTTGTGATCAATGTGGACGGGAATGTGCCGATATATGCGGCACCCGGCAGTTCCGCGCCTGCTGCTTTAACAATATGCGGAAGAGACATTCCGACTTCTTCGGCCTAAAGTTTTGGATGAGACCGCGAAGATACGCGCTCCATCTTTACCCGGCCTACGACGCTTAATCATCGCGCCTACGCAATTATGGAATATCCCACGATATAAACTAGTTACTGCTCAATGTTATTCTCCATGCACACCGTTCAACTAAAATCGCATAATGCCCCTTCGTTTCTCCTGCAGCTTCTTTCCCTTTTCTCCCTTTCGATAACTCGCTTGTCAATGCCCTTAATTGAAATTAAAGGTATTACCTAGCAGCAGATATTCGGATATAATTCTTTGTACAATACAAAAATCTTTTTTTTATCCGATTTTGTATGTACATCATTACTTAAGGGTCTTTACTTTTTGATTAGGTAATCTTATTAAGAGAATTAAATGATATACGCACGTATAAAACCAATAACATTTTTATTAACAAAATATAAAACAAATATTTCCTTAAATTTTTATATTTTTGTCTTAGACTACATCAACGTATATTACATATATAAAAATCTTAATCTATATTATAATCAAATATATCATGATCTCGCACAGCCTAATAAGACTATAAAAATTATACTATATGTGTTAAAAATCATTTCAAGTTTTATAATTTATTTAAATTATATTTAAGTTAAATCATATCATTTAAGTTTTTGACGTTCATAATTGTGTAATTAAATTACACTTGAAATGACTTTATATAAGATATACTAATACTAATACTGAATCTGCTATTTTATGGTCTTTGGTTTTGTACATAAATTACCACATTGTAATTATATAATTAAGTTTTTATTTCTCAATTTTGTTTTTCTTTTTTTTCATTTTTTGGTTCTTTTCCTTCCTTTTCATTTAGAATTTCTTTGCGTTGGCGTTTTTATTTGTAAGAAGAGATTGTACTTTTGGTAAATTATTATTAAAAGTTTTCGGTCTACTACTTCTACAACAAAAATTTTATGATTTTAATATATAGAAAATTTCTTTTTTATATTCTTTTCATTTTTCTGTTGGTTACTATTAGTTCTATTTATGTTATTAAGAGAGTTTAGGTCTAAGTATATAACTATCTTTAATTATTTATGCAAAAAGTATTATATTAGTGTTTGAAAAAAAGTAAAGACTTAAGATGTTAAATCAAGAGATTGTTTTTACATAAAAAATACAATCCACATTATGAAATGACATTGAAAAGAAAATTTATTAAAACTTTATTATTTATGTATAAAAAATTCTAAAGAAAAGAGAAAAAACATTTCTGAATATAATACATATAGAATCATTAACAATCTTGAGATCATTAAAATATAAAGATTATAACTTTATAATTTTTTGCAAAAAATATTAATTAATTATTATTTATATGAAAAACTATTTAGATTTTCAGTTTTTCATAAATTCTATATATACTTCAATAAACTATTATAATAATGTTGAGTTACTTTATTAGACATATGTTTTATCTATATGTTGTAAATAAAAATATTTCTTTCTGATGAAAGATGTAATCTTTTCTCTTTTGTTTAGCATAATAAAATACTTAAACCTAAACTTGATAAAAATTAATTCATATGAATTTTGATTAGTATGTATAGTACAGATATATATAATACAGAAGAAAAATATTTTACAATATTATTTTAATCGATACATACCTCCAATATCATTTGTATCAGTATTTGATGTAGACATATTGTCTAATATATTATCAACTGAGGCACTCTCAACAGCTTGTGTCAATCTTGAATCAGTCTTTTTGTGATGTGTAATAAAATTCATTTTACTAATATCATTACATGCTTCAGTTGGAAGTCCAAATATCTTTTGCCAATCTTGTAATTTATTTTGCGAATCGCTAAAATATTATAAAATATTTTTGCAATTTATTTTATTCATATTTTTAAATTTTCTCTTACAAGTTTTTAAATTTATTTTTTTCTAAATGAAATAAATCCTGAATCATTTTTGTTTTTAACAAAATAGATATTAGATAATTATTAGATAATTCAGCCAACCAGTTCCATTTGATAGACATATTATCTGTAAGCTGTATTCCATTTTATCTGTTTTTCCTCCTACACTATGAGATATGAGACTCATAAATATATTTAAAAAATGATAATAATTTAATAAGTTTCATTTGATATTTTCTTTGTTAAAAAAAGAAATGATTCAGGATTTTTCCAATTCTATATTGGCTTCTTGATAAATCTAGTATATGTAAACTTGAATATTGTCTATACTACAGTAATTAAGATATCAAATAACATACTCTAAGTCATCTATCCAGCTTAAAGACAACCATAATTTTAAATCACATGGCAAACTTTGATGTTTTGGAAACCAGACTGCACCGATGTATTTAAACTGTTCCGCACATTGATACAACTCATTATACCATTTGCAACACTTCCTGAGTATAGCTCTAGAGCAGAGCCTGCAAAGAAATTTACATTATTTGATTGAGAAAAAAAAAATAATATAAGTTTATATTTATACAATTTATTTATGCAATACCAAATTCTGCTTATGTTGGCATAAGCGACTAGAGTAATGCTCCAAGCATGGCCAGATTTCATTCTGCTTTTCAAGAGATGACCACTGCATTTGGCACTCTGTTCTATTCGGTCCATGAGCTTTGCGAAACCTTGTGTTCTCACAAGCGTATATTCCAGTCTTTGTCGGGTCGGTAAAATGTACAACCCATCCTCTATTCTGAGATCAGACCGCAAAGTTTGATACTCTTTTATCAGGAAGATGTTGTAACAATTAACTAACGCCTTATTTAATTTGACCATGTACATGAAACCTTTATCGTTCCGAAATTTTCTTTTCATTCGATAAATTAGACGACTTAGGACTGCAGCATCCAACTTTAAAAAAGTTATTGAACTCAGATCATGGATTGCTGCACCGAGTACTGTCTTATATCGTGTTACATCTACACCTAAAAACAGGAGCAAATATATTATTTTTAAATATATTTACATAACCATAATCACTCTTTTTGTAAGCTGTTAAAATTGCAAACAAATCAATTAGTTTTTTTTAATTAATTCCAAGCAACAAAATATGTCAATGCTCAAATATATTTTGATTGTTTATATATGTTTTTTTTATACCTCTTCTATTTCTTAATTTTTTAGATTTTTTTTTATAATGCACAAAAGTAATAATCGGATGATATCAAAAGAAGATGAGAATCTGAAGAACAACTCTATTAATTATAAAAGTAGAATAATTATTTAAAAAATAGAATTTAAAAAAAAAGAGGGTAATTATTTAGAATAATCTTGTCATCTCCAATTTTAATAAAATTAGACTCAATCGACGCGGTTTCGCTCAAAATAAAAAAATCTGGTAGAAAACCGCGGCGGTCTGCCTTGCAAATCGAGATATTAAGTGTTAAAGTTGATCACTTTTTTGATTAGGAAATCTGTCATAGCGATTCGATACAGCGCTATGTGTACTTTAGCTACATGTGCATGCGCTGTGCGCCTTTTATAAAATATATTTTATACGTAATATAAAATCTAAATATTATATATTTATATATAAAAATAATTTTGTTTAGTTAACTTAAAAATAATCGGTAAATGTTAAGTTTAAGGGCCTTTCGTTCGATTTCGATAAAATTCGATAAAGGCTCATTCAACGCATTTTTGTACGAAATGAAAGAATCTGGCAAAAAAAAGTTTCGCTCTGCCCCGCGAACCGAGATATTAGTCGTTAAAATTTGCGTTATTCAGGATTAGGAAACCTGTCATATCGACATGCGCATGCATTTCAGTCGCTCCGTGCAATATTAGAGCTAATTTTTTAAATTTTGTGAAATTGTATAATTATAAATTTTGTTTTTAAAACAAATTCTATAATTGTTCGATTCCACATGAGTTTACGACTTTCCACATAGAATGAATTTCCACTAAAAGTTTTGCGAAATCCACTCCTCCTCCCCGCCATGCTATGGGGCAGAACGAGGTTTATTATTGTTCGATTCCATATAGATTTATGACTTTCCATAGAGTGAATTTCCACAAGGACTTTGCGAAATCTTTTTTATCAGCTAACTAAAAAACTGGTCAACTTTAACGCTCAATATCTCGATTCGCGAGGCAGACCGCCACGTTTTTCTGCTAGATTCTTTTAATTTGAGTGAAACCGCATCGATTGAGCCTAATTTTATCAAAATCGGAAGTGACAAGGCTATTCTAAATAATTACTCCTCTTTGATCGAAGAGAGAAATAGGTGCTTTAAATTGCTTTAAATTCCTTTCTGATGATCCGTAGTCTCTTAAATATATAAATATACACATGCAATGGATTAAAATTTTACCCAGTTTCTTTGCATCTAGCGGGCTGATTTGCCAGGTTATGTACGGTGGTCGTTCCAGGATAGGTAAATTCCACGCCGCGTTCATTTTCCACAAGATCTTATAATTAAATTATGTTATATAAAGAAGATTTCTTCTGCCGCACTCAGATCATCGAAGGATCACGTGGCGCAAGCACAGAAAAATGCTTTCGCTTTGCAGCTCTTAACCTCCAACGTTATTGCAACGGTCACGGATTACGAGAATTCTGATACATGGGGTCTGTTCTTTTTAGCTGAACTGGCTGCACTCCAGTGTAAGAAAGAAAAATAAACTGTGAACTAGTACAACTAAGTGTCAGTCCACAATAAGTATTTAATCTTTAAGTCGTAAAAAATTGACCAATCATAGTCGATTATTCTTTTCATATTCGATTATAATTGGTCAATTTCTTACTTCTTAAAGCTTAAATCACCTATTGTGGATCAACACTAATTCAGCCAAAAAGAATAGGCCTATGTGCACAGTTAAACTCCTTAGTCCATTGAGCTATATAGGCTGGGTTCCGTAAAGCGCATATGCGCGCATTTTGTTATAGTATACGTGACATGAACTATAGATAAATGCGCGCATATGCGCGAATCCAGCCATAGTACGGGGTATCTATTATGGAATTTTAACGAGTCCGATCGAAATTGTGAGATTGGCGAGTTTCCGATTGCGATTTCGTTCATATGTTTTTATGGATGCCGAGCGGAATCGGCTTTCCGTTTATTTCTCTAGATGCGGAATGAACGTAAGCAGAACGAAAGGAACGAGCGAAATGGACTGTTACGACCAATTACAGTGCAAAAAAAACTAGCTAGACTTAAAATATCCGTACATGTGTATCTTTTACTAGTTAGTCGATATATGTCCATAAATTGATTTTCGGGCAGACCAAATGGATCGAACATATCACTTAATCTTCGTCTCATTATTTTATTTGCGTGAATTTCAGCGAAACGCTGCCTTTCTCTCTCACGGTGTATTACTGCTAACTATAATATAAAAAAAGAAGGATGCAATAATATATATAATATTAAAAATATTTAATTTAATGTTAAAAGTATATCATATAATATTAAAGATATACGTAATATAATATTAAAAATATTTTTAATATTTACCGTTATCACGATTCTCTAATTATAAACACATTTGGTTAAGTTAGCTTACGCATCTTATCGCTGGATTGGATTTCGCTATTTCATTCCGATCGGAATCGACATTTCAGATGACACCCGTTTGACCACATCTCGATTGACCACTAGTCACTCACGAGGCCAGTGTCTAGAATTTTTCCACTGTTCAAGCACCGTGAGTGGCTAGTGGTCAATCGGGACGTGGTCAAACGGTCACTCGACATTTCGATAGCTCGAGAGAGCTGTGAAAACTTTCCGATCGATTCGGAAACGATCTGACTGTCCATAATAACTTATCTAAGAATATCTGGGGAAAAACGAAATAATTCCGATCGGAATCGATTCCGAACATTTCCATAAGTGTTGATCCACAATAAGTATTTAATCTTTAAGCCGTAAGAAATTGACTAATCATAGTCGAGTATTCTTTTCATATTCGATTATAATTGGTCAATTTCTTACTTCTTAAAGCTTAAATCACCTATTGTGGACCGATACTAATAGGTCCTGTAGGCCAATTCTCTAACTTCTTAACGACAATTTCACTAGCTAGGGTTCTCGTTACGCAGATTTAACGACACTATAACGAAAAATGGTATTCTGTAATTTAATGTAACGATAAATGTCGTAAAGTATCGATAAAATACGAATCTTGTTAAGATATCGCGGGGTATCGGATCTCTCGATAAGCCATAACGACAACATAATTAGACATCAATCAATAGCAACGTTCCGAAACAGCTCCAAATAATAATATGGAAGTGTGCAAGTATAGTATAATTTTATAATTTAAATATATAAACATCATAAACTTATTTTAAACATATCAAATGTTAAGAAGAGCATGCAAAAAGTAATATTACAATAAAATAATTTAATTAAAAGCAATGTATTATCAATATTATAATATCTAAAGATATTAAATAAATAAATAGATATAGGTTATATTTTACTTATGAGTTATATGCAATGTAAATCAGATGTGTTTTATAAAAAATTTTTAAAAGTTAGGATTTTTTCTTATTTTTAAGGTAAAATGGTTGAAGGATATTTGGCATGGAATATGTTACTTTAAAAAATTTTTAAATTATGTAAAAAAAGAAATTTAAACAAATAATTTAAATAATTATATTTAATTATATTTAAATAATTATATTATTTAATAATTAAATTACATTAAATTACATTAAATATAATTATTAATTATTATTAACAATTTATTATTATTATTATTATTAATTATATTTAATAATTTAAAAAAATTATATATTAATTTTCTATGTAACCTGTTGTATATAACATTAACAACAGTGTTTTTAACATTCAAAATAAATAATTAATCATTGGCCAATTGAACTGCTAGTTAATATCAATTAATATCAATTAATATCAATTATAATATCAATTAATATTAATTAATATCAATTTTACATGTAATTTATCAATATTTTTTCATATATTACTTAAATTATTTATATATTATGACATTGCACAGACTTTATTTATCTCTTCTACTATTTCCCACTTTACCATAAGTTTATAATCTTATCATCGATAATTTATTTTTAAACTAGTTTATTCCTAAACTCATCAGAAAAAGATGTTAAAAAAAGAGATTTCATTGATTGGATATTACAACGAAAAAGTTATATGAAATCAAATATATTCATTACGATAACGACATCGAAATCACATTTTGTATCGATATTGTTTTGTTAGCTTGTGTTATAGAATAGCTTTTTCGTTATAGTATCGCCAGCGCAAGCAACGATTGTCGCTACGTAGCGACATTGTTGTTACGAAGTTAGGCCGGCTGCACACAGGACGCGGTAGCCAATTACCGTCTTGTTTTCTAATATATAACGAAGTTATATATCAGAAAATAAGACAGTGATTGGCTATCGCATTGTGAAAGCTACCGCTTTCTGCGTCCTGTGTGCAGCCGGCCATAGAGATTAGATATACTGGAGTGAGGGAGAGTCCCATTAACACACAGTGCGATAGCACACATCTACTCACATCAGCTGATGCTTAGAAATTTTTCAATAGACCACCAATCAGAAAATTTTATATTTAATTGGCCAATCAGCGTTGTGTGCTATCGAATCCCTCTTCTGGGAGTAAGGTCCAATCGGACACATTGCCGATTGGTCGATTAATAAATAAATAAAAAAATTTTTGATAGGTAGCTCACTAGAAAATTCCTAGGCATCGGCTGATGTGAATGGTGTATCCGATTGAAAATGTGCGCATCTGGGACGCTCTCCAAAATATTACGAGAAAATATTAATAAAATATGATAAATAAAATATGATAGAATACAGATTTGTATCTGCACCGTACAAATGAGGTGTAAATGAGTTGACTTGTAGCTCCTGCTGACTCTTAAATATTTAATTATAATTATCTGAATAACTCACAAAACTTTTTAATGACATTTCATAACTCTTTATACAAACAATTCCATACAAGAACATTGTCCAATTTATCTTCGATTAATTTCTTGGGCTAAGTATATGGTATAAAAATGATTAATTAATTACAATTAACTGAATGACTCACAAATCTTTTCAATTGCATTTCAAAACTCTTCGAAATACAATTTAAAATAATAATTCTTCGAACCGGCATTCTTCTCGGATCAAGTACATATGAATTCTCACTTCTACTTTATTTCCGATGGAAACAGCATATTAAATTTAATCCGTACTATAGAGTAGAATCAAATTGAAGATTTCAAAAATTGATTTTTACAGTCTTTCAGGTTCTATTAAATAAATAATAAGAATAAAAAAGATCTATAAAATGAATAGATTAGATAAGAAATTAATACTATTGTTAGTAATATAATTATCATCAGATGTGAAAAAACAGATATAAAATGTTAATATGTCATATGATACATAATTGTCATCGTAAAAGCATATCTTAAATGATTCTACAGAGAATAGCAAAACAAATATGAAGATAATTTGAGATGGAAAAATAATCAGAACGGCCGAAGGAATTTTATACGAATATCTGGATAATGATGAAAAAATATTAATTTCATAATATATTTTTAATAAAATATTTATCTAGATATTCGCATAGAATCCTTTCGGCCGTTCTGATTATTTTTCTATTTTCATCTCGAATTATTTTCATATTTGTCTTGCTGTTCTCTGTAAGAATCATTATTTAAGATATGCTTTTACAATTACGATTACGCTTAATTTATGTATCATACAACATGTTAACATTTTATGTCTGTTCTTTTCGCATCTAACAATAATTATATTACTAACAATAATATTAATTTCTTACCTAATCTATTCATTGTTATGGACCTTATTTATTCTTATTATTTATTTAATAGGACTTGAAAGATTAATTGAAAGATAAAGATCAATTTTTTGATAGAGGTTAGAAAATATAAAGATAGAAAATCTTCCGCCATGTTTGTAGACATCGAGTCTCAAATCGAATTTATGATCTGACTCGACTCGACTTGGCGTCGGGTCAGCAAATTGAAAATGCTATAAGACTAAAACCTAGTCTACAATGACATAAGGCTATAAGGCTATAAGTGTCGGTCCACAATAAATATTTAATCTTTAAGCCGTAAGAAATTGACCAATCATAGTCGATTATTCTTTTCATATTCGATTATAATTGGTCAATTTCTTACGTCTTAAAGCGTAAATCATCTATTGTGAACCGACACTAAGGCGTGGTAAGGTATAAGAACTACTTAAATGAATTAGGATTGGTTTATGGAGATCGTAATCTGTTAACTTATGCCATAACTGTAAAGAATTGACGAAACATAGTCGATTATTTTTTTATAATTCGATCATAATTGGTCAATTTTTTACGCTTACGATGAAAAGTTAACAGATTACGGCCTCCATAAACCAATCCTTTTCATTTCTTATGCTTAATAACCTTATATCATAATATACAGCACAGTTATACTGTAACGTAAGGTTGTTAAGTATAAGAAATAAAAATAATTTATTTAAGTAGGTTCTTACAACCACGCCTTACAGCCTTATAGCCTTATGTTATATCATTGTAGATTAGGCTTAAGTCTCACGCTGATACATCATGCGCTGGCCAATTAGCCAGCGTCAACATTTTCTTAGTGTCGGTCCACAATAAGTATTTAATCTTTAAGTCGTAAGAAATTGATTAATCATAGTCGATTATTCTTTTCATATTCGATTATAATTGGTCAATTTCTTACTTCTTAAAGCTTAAATCACCTGTTGTGGACCGATACTTAGAGATCCATACTTACGCCGTAGCGCTCGCCCACGTCTGTCCGCATCATCATAGAACTTTTGCGAGATAATCGAGACGCGTTTCCGCATATACAGCTCTATCTATTGGCGAAGGCGACAAATACTGCGTAATTCTACACACTATATATGTAACACTGTCTCTCCTTCCTATCTCCTATGTATAATACATGTACATACATATATGCATCTCTGTAGTACGTGTATCTAAATCCCAAAACGAAAAACATCGGCAGATGGCTCGAGATCTATGTGATGATTAATAATCCTCACGAGTTTGAAAAATTGATGGTAACCGAGCGACGGCGGAAAAGCAACAAGGACGAGGAAACGGGATTGTCAGCAGTAAGTGCCGAGGGAGAAATTAGAGGAGCTTAGCGCTCGAGTAGGATTGTTCCGATCGCTAATCAAATTTGTCATCTCGGCGTTGCGCATAAGAGCGAACGAACGAACGAACGAACGAACGAGCGAGCGAGCAGTCCATCCATCCATCCATCTATCCGTCCGTCTGTCCGTCTGTGCGTGCGTGCGTCCGTGCGTCTGTCCGTTCGTGCGCGTCGAAGTTCGGAGTTCGGAGTGTGATCTGTCGGAATATGGCGTTTGTTTCGTACGTTATCGCATCGCCGCGGGACACCGCGGCTCGCCGCAGCTGAACGTCCGTTCGCCGCTGCGCTCGACGGTCCCGCTCCGAAGTAGCCTCGCCGTACGCAAACCTCGTCGATGCCCCGTGGCTCGGCCCGGTCGCGGCACCCCCGTCGAGAGCGCGCGCGGCGCTCGGCCACTCACAATCGCGCACGGGCACGAGGATAAGATTGCGTCATTATCGCCTGGATCCCCCTGAGATGCCGAAGAGGTATCACGAGACGAGCGCACAATGACGTCCCGCAGTTACACCAAGTCCTACAGCCGCAAGGTCAGCAGTGTAACGCCCGGTAGCATCCAGTTCGACCTCTTCCGGGAGAACAGCAATCGGCCGTCGGCCGCCAAGTCCGCGGGCACTGTCGGCAAATGGGGTATAACATCCTTCACGTCTATCAGGAGCACGAATATCAACGGTATGCACTTATCGCTAGTGTTTACGTTAGACGTAGTTATGCTCACGCCGCTGCCTTTTACGAACACTTTTCTTTTCCTTTCTCTTTTTTACGGGAGCCCGCGCATTGATCTTGCCGTTATCGCGGAAAGAATTGTTTGCACCACAGTCTTATAAACAGTATGACCTTTGATTTTTTTTTTACCGTGATTTTATACCGTGCCGATTATCAAATTTTATACCTTAGAATAACGGTACATCTCGAAGAAATAATGTATTTACAATTGAGAAAGAGAGAAGAAAATTTGCAAATTTATAATTGTGTATAAAGTTCTTATATTTTGGAACAATGGTATTGCACTACCATCATATATAGCTGTGATAATAATAATGAATGTAACAGATTTAGCAGGAGTTGTATAAGATTGTTCTACTTACAGTTCTAAAAAGTTTTTATCACTTATGTATCACCAATTTTTATCACCTATGTATCACTTTTCTAATGTAAAAATTAATATAAATTGACGGAATTTATTTTTAGAAGCTGGCATAATCAATGGATTCTATGCCAATGATATAATTTCTGTTAAACGATGATGGCTCTATTTGACAAAGTTTAATTTGTGTAATAAATTAATTTAGTGGAATGAAATTAGAAATGCAAACTGAAATTATTTTATATTTCATGTTACATTGACTATATCCAAATGTATTTTGCACATGAACATGTAAATGCATGATTATTTATATATAAATTATCTGATACCTTTATTGTTAAAAATTATTAAATATTTTTTTATAGAAGCAATGACTAATATTGAGAATATTGATAATATATTTAAAATACTGTAAAAAATGCTATTATATATTTAAAAGGGTCATTTTTAATCTTTATTGAGAAAATCTTTTATATAATATAAAGAAACATATATAACATCTCTCTATTAAATTCAATATTGCAAAATTGTTCCATTTTCAGGAAGAAGAGATGATATACATAATACATTCGGCGCGAAGAAAATGAAACTCGATTATGGCAATCAGAATCGCGTAAATCCTGGAAAGGATCCCTTCTCTTTCGAGACTGATCCGGACAACAAGACGGATGCATCTCCGGCAGTCGTTAAGCCGAAGAAGTTTTTCAAGAGTCGGAATGTACCGTCTGTTGTAGAAGAATCTCGCCAGAATGTGGCAATTTACAGACAAGTACCTGATTCACAATATGGACGAACTCGTGTCCCGAAGCAACCCCCGCAACAGCAGCAACAACAACAGCAGCAGCAGGCTGTATCAAAAGCGTCACATGTTTCAGTTAAGAAAGTAGTAGAAAGTTTAGATAGTACACCTGATATTCCCAGTCGGGAGGAGAGCAAACCGCCAATCGTGCTAAGAATATGCAAAGGTACGGCACGATTGGTTTGTGGGGACGTGCATCAGGAACCTCAGGAACCAGAGACGGATACCTACAGAATTTCCACTCTTCTTGCTAGTCCCTCAAAAGTAGACATCGAACGTAAGGTCAATACAGAGACGTCGCTCAAATCCGATCATAGATCCCTACGCGTGCATCAACCTGTTGTTTCCACTGTGTCAATTCCATTGGAGAATTCGGACATGAGAAGGACCACTCGCAGTCGCGCCAAGAATCTGCACTTGGATCCAACGGCAACGACTTCCGTCGTGGCGCCGTCGGCAACCCCAGTCACTCCCAATTCGCACGGTTCCGGCCTCTCTCTAACGTTGAGAAAATCAATGACAGACTCCAATAACACCCTTATCTCTCATTACGATATTGTTAAGACTGATTGCAGCTCAATGTATTCCTCTAAACCGACGATCGAACCATTGATCGGGCGTGATCAACCACTGCCAACCACCACTCAAGAGCTGATCGATATATTATCGAGTGATTCCGACACAAGACCACCACCGCCACCAACATCACCAATAGCACCATTACCCCAAACACCATCACCGGCACAGGCCGTCAACGCGGATGACAATGACAATATGGAAAATGTGGAAGAGGCAACGCCAGAGAGCATTGCGAATCAAGTAGAACAATATTGTTCCATAGATATCCCGACCAATGAAGCTGAACCTGTTGCGGTCGCACAACAGTCCGAACCGAAACCGGAGGTAGAGCCTGATCCTGAATCAGAGCCGGAACTACCAATAATCCGTGGAACCACTGACTCCACTTCTACCGTCGAGATCGCGGCCAAGACTCTGGTGGATCAGGATTGGTTTTCGGGCAGTGACGACAGTGAAGGTGCTGGGAATGTCGAGAGTGAAATACCATTGCACGTGACGAGTACGGTCTCGGAATCGCAGACTTCCGATCCACCGTCGACGAGTGTTTCGTCGACCAAGCCAGCCGCTAAGAAAGGTAGTATCTTCAAAAGTCGTTCAACGGGTGCGACGAATGGAAATAAGAGACGGGCATTGTACAAGCATAAGTGGTGTGATAGCGACAAAGAATCCACTGCTACGGATACGCCTAACACCGGCAACAGCACGCCAACTACTGCCTCTGGTTCCAGCAGTACTGGACCGGTGGCGTACGAGGAGGAGTTCAATCCCTCGCAGTTGACAAGAGTCGTGACTTATCCCACGGTTGATGCGGACTTCGAGGATGAAACTGATGCGATCACGAGTATTCGCTGTGGTAAAAAAGTTAAAGGGGTAAATATATTATGAAATAATATACGAAATAAATTATGAAATATGAAATAATACGATATAATCATTTTTATATATTTATGAAATATTTTTTTCTTGGAAAATTTATCATAAAGCTTTATTTATCATAAAGTCATAGATAAAAGATCTTTTTCCTCTTACAAATTGATAAATAGAGATAATTAGTTTTTCCAAAATATTATATGACATTAAATTAAAAATGTAAAAAAGTCATATATAATTATCTTATGTAATTAACTTTTTATTCAATACGTATTTATTTAACATTTATTTTATCTTGCAGTTCTATACGGTAGTAAAAAATGTAAAGAAAGCTCATCAAATACAAGAAAGTGGAGAATTTCAAGAGTTTAATGACGATGTGGAATATATCTTGGACACTCTGAGAGAAAATAATCCGAATGCTACTCGTTGCCTTTCAGCCATACGATTAGCAAGTAAATGTATGGCTCCTGCATTTCGTATGCACGTGCGTGCTCATGGAACTGTTGCCAAGTTTTTTAAAGCTCTTCATGATGCAACTAAAGATCAGGTATAAATGTTCGCACATAAAAATTCTATTTATCTTTATGTATTCATTCATCAGTTATATATCACGTTAAATGCCTTGCCAATATTATATAAGTTATCAAAAGGGGTTATCTCGTATTCCACATTTGCGATTTTCTTGTGTTAAATATTTTTCTTATGAATTTGACTTTCTCACGTGCATATAATAATTGTATATTGATGTCATTATTATTGCAGAGTCTTGGTTTATGCACAGCTACAGTAATGTTTGTATTAAGTCAAGACCGTCTAGCTATGGATCTTGATCGCGATTGTTTGGAATTAATGTTAAGTCTATTAGAATCTGATGCGAGCCATAAAGATGCTCTTGATGATTGTGGTCTCAGTCATGCTGAATTGCTGAAAAATAAAGAAAAAGTGCGTCAGTTATGTGCTGATATACAAGCTCAAGGACATGCCAAGCATTTGAATCTAGATAATATTACTGTAAGTTTTTTTTCTGTAGACATGCTCTGCATTCATATTTATTTTCATATATCCGTGCATTTTTACATATTTATGTTTTTTTATTTCTATTTTCAAATAATTCATAACATGCTGCTTTTCATAGGTTGGTCAACTCGCGATGGAAACACTTTTGAGTCTTACATCGAAGCGTGCTGGAGAATGGTTCAAAGAAGAGTTACGAGAATTAGGTGGCTTGGAACATATTGTAAAGACGATTCGAGAATGTCACCGTCATATTAACGGCCAGAATGTTTTAATATCTGGCTGGACAGATCCTTTATTAGACAAATTACGTAAAGTTGACAGATGTTTACGCGTCTTAGAAAATGTAAGTGTTACTCTCTTCTTTTCCTTCTCTTTTTTCTGCTTGCGCGCACCGTGTCATGAAGATGAAGAATAGCTAAATGTGCCAATGTTTTTTTTTAGGTAACTCATATGAATGAAGAAAATCAAGTGTATTTATTAAAATATGAGGAAGGGGTATTAGTAAGCACGTTAGCTAGTTTATATCACCTGTGTGGGCGAGAAATTCCCGTTTATCCAACAACAGATCCGAGTGATAAAAGTTCCATTGGTGCTGTTGTTAGAGAATGTCTTTTTGCAATTATTAAAGTTCTTATCAATCTAACCCATCGATTTAACGGACAATGTAAGATATTTTTAAAAATTCAATATTACCAATTCAATATTATCAATGTTAATGAAGGAAAATTAAATATAGCCGTTAGTAGTCTATATTTATTTCATCTATTCATTTATTATTATTTTTTATTGCTAATAAAATATCTCTATATCTCTCTATAATATTATATAAAATTATTCATTTTAAAGTAATATATTTCTTTTACACAGCTTTTGGTAGTAAATCAGTCGGCGCACAAGTTGGCGTTTTGGATTGTAGTTTGTTTCTTTTATTACGTGTGCCTGAATCACTCCCAGAAGAAAAACGATTTGACATGATGATGTTGGCATTAATCTTGTTGATAAATTTAGTAGAGCAGTGTGACGATAATAAGCAACTTCTTATCGAATCGAAAACACCTCCATCGTCGGAGAATATTTTCGATAGTAAATATTTTTACAATTCACACACTTTTTTAATACAGCGTAAGTAAATTGAGAAAATAAGTAATCTTTTCTTTTTCTATCTGCGTAATTTTAGTGGAAGAAAGTGGCGTAGCATCGTTAATCGATTTATTTTACAAGCAAGAGGAACTTGCGCGCGCTGAAGAACAAAAAACAGACGCAATTCTAGACGGAAAGAAAGATTCTGAGCAAACAGAAACAGTATCGACCACTACTAAATCTCAGGAAGAATTTATTGAAGAGACCGTTACAAAATGTTCGTATTATGTTTGCAATATTATGTTTGAGATTTTATAAATCATTATTAATAATAAATTATTATATATTAATAATGATTTGTGTAATTGTAATCATGTCTCATAAAGTCAAATTTTAATGATATATTTTTTAATGAAATTATTGATCTTTTCTTAATTTATTACTGGATTATTTTTAAATATTATAATTCTTATAAAAAAAGTTATTTATATAAAGTATACTTATATACTCAAAATTAAGACTTTTAACGTTTCTTATTGAAAAGATAAAACAACAAAAGAGAGAACTTTATGTTTATTTTAAGATATAATCTGCATCTTATTCGGGCTTAGATACATTTATTACTTATGATTATAATAACATGAGATTATTATTCCGTAGTGTTACAAAAAGCTGGACGACATATGGAACATACATTGATTGGAGCATATGTAGTGCTGTTACTTGGATACTTAATAATGGATAACAAAGTGAATATTAAATGTGATCATATAAATATAATTATATAATTTAAAAATATGATTATCTCGGTTATCTGTTTTATCTAATAATACATATAAAATTTGAGTATTTTAAACTTCTTTTCTTAATAATTTCTTTTTGTTATCTAGGAGTACGAGTCACTAGTACGAAGTAGACTACCAGACAAGAACTTCGCCACTATGATATCTGTACTTCAAAAATTCTTCAATTTCATGAATCTAACGGCATCGGTGAGTATTTATATGGAGAAATCGCGTATTATATCTCTCTTATTTCAGAAATTATATTATGATAGTGGTCTTTTATCACGCATATTTATTTCAGAACGAAGTAAGTAGTTGCGGAATCGCTGCTACCGAGAAAGTAATCAAGTTCCTAAAAATGTCAGATGCCAGAATCGAGGAAGAGAAGAATGAGTTACCATTACCAGCATTAGAGGACACCAACACGATGCTTGACTTAACTTCATCTTGATCAATATGTTATGCACGCACCTGACAGCATTTCTTTCATCTGGCATACATGAAGAGCCAAAGTTGTATTTGTCCGACAGAAAAAAAATTCTTTTTATTCAATATGGATGGACTTGTTTCATATTCATGTATTTTGATACATATTTATTCACTTACGTAATTTATTGCTGTAGGTTTCATTATTATTACCGATTCGTCTTATTTCCTTATTTACGAAAGTTAGCGTTATGTCTTAGTTTTATAAATTTAAAATAAGATAGCTTTGAATTGTAGGGACACATCTTGTAATTATAATTGCAGGGCACTTATCACAATTATATCGTTACTGTCTACACGGTATCGCTGATGATTCAAAGTAACAATCACCTTTTTTTTTCAAGTTGAGAGATTGTCAAGAAGAGTTAATAATATGATAAACTTCTTGTCAGCCTACTCAATTTACTTTCTGTATATGAAATCTTAATATTGTACAATCAATTTTTTAAATTATACCCTTATTTTAAAGTTTAATTGATCGATGGCATAGTTACATTAAATGTAACTCGCTGAAATTCAACGTAACATTTTCGTTTTCTTGATTCTTTTTTTTTAATGTGTGTAAGATTATTTTAATGTTAAAATGATATGATATAAGCCTTGTAAATGTAAATTTATAAATTATAATTGTATCTTATATCTGCAGTTTCGAATTATTGGATCCCATTATAGTGCTAATTACAAACATTATGAACATCATTACAAACATCAGTGCATTGCACCGCGATGCGAAATATTCTCACGCGTTCTATACAGTATATAAAAATTTAACTCGAGGAGATACGCACGTAATATGTTGTTATATTTGTAGTAAAATCGCCGAAGGCGCAATACGAAGAATCTATATGTAGAATAAAATACTTTTTTTAAACATACGTTGCATATATTATAATTACATTTGCCCCGTTTACATAGGGTCAATTGCGTGTAATCAAGCAATAAACGTGACCTTATCAATTTCCAATACTTTGTTTTCTCAGCATATTTATTACAAACTTTTTTCTTTCAATGAAAATCGTATTTGAATACGTGAGAAAAAAATAGTATAAATACTACAAAATCTTGTAATTAATTACAATGAATGATACTTTCTCTATTCTTCTGTCTTTTCTCCTTATGCTTTGCTTTTCTCCTTTGATGTTTTTATCTTCTTGCTCCTATTATTTATTTCATCTTGTTCATTCTTTCCCATTTCTTTTCCATATCTTTTTCCTTTTCGTTTCTTTCTATTATCCCTCTTAATTCATTTCCTCTTTTCTTTCTTTCTTTCATCCTCTGTTACTCTTTTTTTTATTCCCTCTTTCATACATTTTCCCGCTGTTTTTCGAAAATCTCCGGAAACATCACCGCGCATGCGAAAATTGCAGTACCTGTTTTCCTCTTTTTTTTCTCCACGTTACCCAATGTGGAGAGAAAAAAAGACTAGATAAACAGTAAGCCTGGATCCTCATGCAACATTGGCGTTTTGACACAGGTGCTGATTGGTGAAAAATGAGTAGTGGGGATAAAACGGCGAATGAATCTTTATTATTTCTTCCCATCATCCGTTTTTCACTAATCAGCGTTCGGTGTCAAAGCGCTGGCGTTTGCATGAAAATCCAGACTAAAGCCAGTGGCACACGATGCTTTTTTTCCTGCTGATTTGCTAGCTGGATTTGCGTGCTCATTGTTGAGCTCTTGTCTCTGATTGGTATATTCTTTTGGATCTAAAAACATATACCAATCGAAGACAAGAGTTCAACAAACACGCAAATTAGCAAGAAAAAAAAGCATCGTGTGCCGCTGGCTTAAGGCATTGAGCTATATGCGTTCCTTTATTCACTCCGAGTGAACTTACTATTAAAGAGTCGATCATGAACTTTTCCTCTAAGGCGGAAACGTGAAAAGTTTCACGTGAACTTACGAACATGTACGATTTTGCGGGATCATGTAATTCTCTCAAACGTGAAAATGTGAAATTTTTCATATGAACTTTTTCGCCATGTACCTTGATGGCGGAAAGGCAGAAATCTAGGGAATTAATAAATATTTCGAAATTAGAGAAAATTAGGACTGCGTTAGGATTAAGTGTACGTAGTACATATACAATTGATTATTAAAAGATGTATATAATACTGTATCAAATAAAATAATTTTCATTATAAAACCTATAAAACCTATGAAACTATGTTTTATGATTTCACTTTCCATGCATCCAAGCTACATACATAATCGCTGTACGTAAAAAGTTTCACATGAAATGTCAAGGTGTGAAAAATAAAAGTGAAAAATGAAAAGTGAAAAATTTCACATAAAGTTACATGATTAATCCCAAGGTGTGAAAAATGAAAAGTAAAAAGTGAAAATGAAAAATGAAAAATTTCACGTAAAGTTATATGATTGATCCCCAGTACTATAAATAACGTTCCGATATAGAGAACAGTGTACTATGAAAGTGCCTTGAATTTCTATGACGTCATTGATTTTGACGTACTTTCTGTTGCGGTTACTGCAACCAGCGAGGTAAAGCAGTCAAAGCAAAGATGGCTGCTTCCATAGAGACTGAAATAATCTTGATTGATGCTGAAGAAAATAAAGTGTATAATGAAATGTGAAATAATGTAATATAATGAAAATTATTATGATATATAATATTATGAAATTATTTATTATTATTAATGATTTTATTATTATTATTAATATTAATATTATTAATTTTTTATTTATTATTTATTTTTTTGTTATTATTAATTATTTATGTATATAGTATATTTAATATATATAATAAAATTATTTTTTTTAATATTACATATGCCAGTCATTTAATATTACATATGCCAGTTGGAGTTTGAAAACGTACTGCAACTGCTTTCCGCTTTATAATCTTGAAGCAGTTACAAAGTGCACGAAACTAAAACGGAACGATAGCCGCAGTACACTTACATTACGTCATAACATGAGCACTCGGAATGAATAAAGGAACGCACCCATAGTATACAAGAGTGAGCCATCGCTATTCCTATACTAAATCATATATGACTAAACTATAGAAAACCGCGGCCTAGCGGAAAAAAGAACGATCATACTAAAATTGGAATTTTTATCTCTTTTCTACAGTGTATTAATTTTGCTAAATAATCAAGGAATCTCTTGATAAAGAGAGCGATTCCAACTCGCACGTTGTCTTTTTTTAATAAGTAAGACATCCCCATTCCTTAAAGGCTTACTCCTGGAGAGAGTGTCCCAGATGCGCATATTTTCAATCGGACACATTACTCACATCAGTCTAGGAATTTTTTTAGTGAGCCACCTATCAAAATTTTTTTATTATTTTTTAATCGACCAATCGGCAATGTGTCCAATTTAATCTTACCCATATTTTGCCACGAATCTTTTTTTGATCCATATTTTATGAAATCGTGAAATCTGTTATAAATAATATAATAACTAAGATTATCTGCACTATACTGCACTATAATGCAGTATCGATTATTCCTCTATTCTTCGACTATGATCAATTTTTTATGGCTTAAGGCTTCAATCACCTATTGTAGACCGGGACTGACGGAACTTTGGAAGTTGTCGCGATACTGCATTATAGTGCAAATAATCTTAAACCAGCGACACACAATGCTTTTTCTCCTGCTGATTTGCTAGCTGGATTTGCATGCTTAATGAATTCTTAGATCTAAAAATTCTTTTAGATCTAAAAAAATATATCATTCGAAGAAAAGCTCAGCAAACACACGAATCCAACAAGCAAACCAGCAGGGAAAAAACATTGTGTGCCGCTGGCTTTATTTATTATATTATTTATAACAGCGATTTCAAATTGAAACATGAATAAAAAAAACTTGTTGCAAAATATTACCTCGAGAAAATATTACTAAAAAATAAAATAGAATACAGATTTGTACATCTGTATCGCACAAATATGGTGTAAATGAGTTGGCTTGTTGTTCCTGCTGATTCTTAAATATTTAATTATAATTATCTGAATAATTCACAAAACTTTTTAATGACATTTCATAACTCTTTATACAAAATACAAATAATTCCATACAAGAACATTGTCTAATTTATCTTTGATTAATTTCTCGGGCTAAGTATATGGTTTAAAAATGATTAATTAATTACAATTAACCAAATGACTCACAAACCTTTTTAATTGCACTTCAAAACTCTTCATACAAAATACAAATAATTTAAAATAATAATTCTTTAAACCGACATACTTCTCGGATCAAGTACATATGCATGAAGTGAGAAAGACTGTCATTTCAGTAGAACCAACATAACTTCTTGGTCTAGTTTCCACCGATGTCTTAATTCACTCTTAGGCCGGTATTTATAGTCAGTTCTTATATTTAAGATCGTTTTAAGATAATATTTCAATCAATAGGATAGCTATATGAGCTTATTTAAGACGATCTTAAATATAAGAACCTTTGACTATATAAATATGGACTGCTAGTACCTCACTTCACTCGTGACGTCAACATTAATTTGGACAGTGGCGCTACCATGTCCCACAAACTAAAATGCGTAACGTCATTGAAGCATGAGAGATTGGTCAGTGCGTATTAGTTCATATTGTAAGAACGCGTAAAACTAAATTTACCGCGAACTCTCGGGAAAGTTAAAAGACAAGAGGGATAATCTTCTGACTCTAGTCGTAGCAATCGATTGTTAATTATTAGGATGCGTGAGGTGATAAGGGAAAGCGGCACATTCAATCACACACTTCTTCTTTTTTTACTTCCTCTTTATTTCACAATTTACGCACGACATCCACACTTTTTCGGCTTCATCCCAATCTTACTTGCTGCAACTCGTCATTGTTCGCTTCTGCTATTTCTTTCGCTAACCAATCGTAATATATCACGTGGTCTTTCAACCAATAAGTGTTAATATCAAAATAGGCCGCACTGCGCGCTAGTGCGCGAGAAAAACCAAAAATTTAAACTTGCTGGCGCCCCTGAGGTCTTACAGCTCGGCCATTCTGCAGTAGCTATTCGTCCCGAACATCAATATTATCACTGCAACTACTAAGATCATCAAATAAAAATCATCGTTATATTAAAAACTCAAATTAAAAGTGATCGAAATAACATCTTCTTTAAGAGACTTAACTAGCTAAGTGTCGGTCCACAACAGGTGATTTAAGCTTTAAGAAGTAAGAAATGACCAATTATAATCGAATATGAAAAGAATAATCGACTATGATTGTTCAACTTCAATTTCTTACGACGTAAAGATTAAATACTTATTGTGGCCCGACACTAATGCAGAATGTTCTGACAACAAACACATAGCAACCATATAGCAATATAAAGTATAATAAACAAAACATAAACTTAAAAATAATAACAATATATAATATAATAGAGATATAATATAATAATATAATAGAGAAAATGCAACGAACTTAAAAGCTAATAAAAGAGATATATATAACTCGAATAAAGAATAACAAAATAATATTTATCACTAGTCATTAGTGTCGGTCCACAATAAGTATTTAATCTTTAAGCCGTAAGAAATTGACTAATCATAGTCGAGTATTCTTTTCATATTCGATTACAATTGGTCAATTTCTTACTTCTTAAAGCTTAAATCACCTATTGTGGACCGACACTTAGATTAATTAGAGTCGACAGATCTGATCCACAATTTAAGTCTGTCCGGTGATAAAATGGAATTATACGATCTAGATACAAGTAAAAGCCAGGGATATCCTGGATTATATACCGATTAAACCGTTCAAAATCTTCGCGACTAAATAGGGACCCTTATATGATTTAAGTTTTTTATCCTCACCGGGTTTAATTATGTTATAATTACTCGGATCATAACATAGTCTCCTATTTTATATCGCGTTACGGCGTTTTGTTAC